TAACTCCTGCATAAATTCTGAATTCAGTAAAAGTTCAATAACCTTTCGGAGGTAGTTATATTTATTTTTATCAAATAATATTCAACAGGTATATGTTTGAGCTTAAAAGGCATAAACTAAAATAAAAATAGAAGTTGGAAATGCGAAAAAAAATTTTCGCTCCACCCTAATATATTTACATATATATATATATATATATATATATATATATATATATATATATATATATATATATATATATATATATATATATATATAATAATCTTTATTTAAGTTTTTCGTAATGCAATAATATAGGTGAAACAGTATGCAAGTTTTAAAATTTATCTTGTCAATTTTGTTGCCTAAACAAGGGTAATACATTTTCTCACAAAGACCGAAGCCTGTGGTGAGTACGAAGAAGGCCTATTTATATTCTGCAATATTTGAATACCTTCATAACTTTATATCAAGGTATCAATTTCAATAATTTGGTGAAAAACTTATCAATATGAAAAGTTGATAACAATATTGGGTATAAGTGAATGTCAATATTGTAGAAATTTGTAACACTGTCATATATTATTTTACAACCATTTAAACTTTCAAATGTTCACCAGTATATGAAACATATATCTGTCCTTTGTTTTGACCTAAATTTTCAATTCTAATTATAGTTTTCATTTCAAATGGCATTTCATTATAAATTCTTGGAGCCAAGTAGGAGTAGTTACAAAGACATGAGGATTTACTGTATTGCGGAATTGATAAAGAGTTCCTGCTATATCTGGTATTCATGCTATGTTCAATAAAGTAACAACTGTCTATTTTTTTTCGTGAAGTTTGGCAGAAATTGAACAAACCTCTGGCGTATATCCAGTTTTTCAGCTTCTTTATACAGAAAGTCAATAGGATATCTGATATCTCTTTTATGAAGGATTTTCAGAAGCCATTTTTTAATTCCTAAGTATTCACATTAGTATGTAGAAGTAAATAGTCAATGTATTTTCTGCTATTTCAATTAATCAATGGTTCACGGGTTGGAAGTAAGCGCTTATCTACAGCAAAAATATTTTATCTATATTGATAGTTAAGAGGTGATGCTTCAGCCAATTATAGATATTCACAAAATCAGATTCAGCTTTGTCTTTGATATCACTCCAGTTTGCTCCTGAGTAAACTATCGCAGTATCGTCTGCAAAACTGATTATTTCTTCTCACTCTCCGACAACAAAAGTTTATTCATATAGATTGTGAATAGAATTGGCCCTAATATTGTTCCTTGAGGTATGCCATATTCTATTATCCTTATATTACTCATGTATTGTTCACCTCCACTGTTTGGTTTCGATTTGCTAAGTAGCTTTCAAATAATCTCAGATTGGCACCATTAATTCCAATCTGTTCTAGAAGGCTCAAAAGTGTTGTCTGTTCAACAGTATCGAACGCTTTTGTCTAAATCATATTGATAAATCGTATCGAACGCTAAAGTCTATCAATACATCAATACATACAAGGTAACATCGCTATTGTTGAAAGATTCATAAACTTATTCATAGACTTATTTTCTTGAAATCCAAATTGCATATCAGAAATAATCTTATTAACTTTAAAAAACTGAAAAAGTTTGTAGCCTAATTTTTATAACTTTCTCAACAATTTTTGATAGAACGGAGAGTATGGATAAAGGTCTATAGTCTGCACATAGTCTTCTGCTACGCACCTTCATGCAAGGGCAAAATGGCCGCTGTTTTTAGAGACGTTGGAGGTTTTTCCGTTTTGAAAATCATCTTCACATTCTGCAACACTGGTGGATTTAATGAATGAACTCTAATTTTTAGAGCCTCTGAAGATATTCCATCAATTCATCCACTCTTTTCATCTTTGAGATTCAAAATTATGTTGGCTACTTCTTCGTCAGTTGTGGACGTGAGAGAAAAATCACTCATATTTTAAGTGCTTGTGTTTTCAGGTTGAGGTCTGGGCATATTCAATTTTTCTAATAACTCCCTACAGACGCTGACACAATGATCATTTAGAGCTTGGGCTATTTCTTTCGGGTCAAAAATAGTGTTCCTTTCTATTTCTACTTTTTCGATTTCTTCGTTTGCCACGAACATCAAATATGATTTACCAAAATTGTGCGGTTTATCGCCGCTCCATCGTATAAGTTGCATGTAGTAATCACTTTTAGCACGTTTTATCAAGAAATGTGGACTAATTATTTCTGAAGTTTTCGAATTCTAACCAGTTACTCATTTTTATCTCGTCCCATGCTTTGTAAAGTTCTTTTCTAGTATTGATCACCCTCAATAGACCATTTCTTATCCAGGATTCTCTTTTCTGTTCTTTATATCTGACTTTATACTCACATAATTCAATATAATTCTTCATTTTGTTAACCAGTGCGCCTGTTAACTCATCAGGTTCTTCCATTTCATAAATTTCGGTTCAATTTTCCTTCGCTAAATGGTCTTTAAGTTTTACATAATTCATATTAACATTTTCTTTTTGGTTTTGTGGCACTCTTCACCCGGTTTTACAAAAAATAACGACTGCGGAGTGATCAGTTACATGCGACTCAATCATTATCGTAGCATATCATTCCATGCCTCTTATCAAAATGTGGTCTATACATGACAAGCTTTTTTATGAATTCTAGTAGCTTTATTGATAACACTGATGAAATTCGCCTCTGCTCAAAGGTTGAGGTAATTCATGCTTTGTTCATTCTCTTCTGAAATATATTATATTCAGTATATCTATGTTGAAATCACAAATTATTATATCTTTATAATTATTCCTGTAATTTGTTTTCAAGTATTCATGAAAATTTTTATTGAATTCATCTGTCAAAATATTATGCGGTTTATATAGCGACATAATTTGTAATTTGAAATTGTACCCTATGTAAACGTTCATTTTTAAGGTCTGTTGTTCTCATATTGTAATTTTTACATAATCGTAACTGAGTTTTTTGTTGATATAAACTACAAATCCATTATTCCTGTTATAGAATTCGCCGTTGTATATGAAATGAAACCCTTCCAAATAAAATAAATTCAAATCTGCAGTAAAGAACGTTTCTGTTAACACTATACAGTCATATAACCTTGGTTTCATGTAAAGGCACCTGTAGTTGATCAAAAAATTTTTTTTAGAAGTCCCTATACGGAATATTGGCAGTCAGAGTTGCATAATCTTGTTTGCTTTCACAAACAAGTGTATCCATTGTATTATGATTGAAATCCCTAATAAATTGGTCCATTAACTAAAGTAAAATAACCTGTTAGGAATAGTTCGTCCTTTTCCTAATGATTTCTACCTACCGGATATAAGATGAGCACTTTACGTCTAAGCTACCGTGATTCACATCGTACGATGCTTTAAATTTTTCATTCGACAAAACACAATTACCGCACTTGAACATAGATAGCACTGTTACAGTTATTTTCTGCATGTTCTTTTGCACACTTCATACACGAGTTTTTCTTTGTACACTCCTCCGCTCTATGGTAGAATCCTCTGCAGTTTCTGCATCTTGGTACATATGTATATATTTTCATAAACAGGCCACCTATTGTATTTTATATTTAATTTTCCTGCGGCAATAATTTTTCGGAAAGCGGAACCATTGCATTCGATAACCGCTCAATTTGAATCGCCTTTACTAGTTTGTCTATGTAATTTGCATTATATAACATTTTCCTCCTTCATGAAATGATTTCAGTTCCTTATTCATCGATCAATTCCTCTTCTTTAGTTTTCATATCAATATTAGATATTATAACCGAAGGCTTTTTCATTTTGGTTTCTTTCATTTCTTAATTTCTTCCTATTTTTTCTTCAATTCTATTTTAATTTTTTTTTGATTGTTTCGTGTCACCTTTTATTACTAGTGATCCATTCCTTGAATATGTGATCATATTGATTCCAACTGAAATCTTTGATGGATTATTTATATTTTCCATCTCCAATTTTGTTTTTTGGCATGATTGTCATCATTCGAATCTATAAGAATGCAAGGTGTATTATTGACTAATTTATATTCCTCAATTCCGCTTTTAGCTATACTTGAGTGAGAGATTTGAGTCTCTCCTCTAATGATTTCTCTGTCTAAATCTCATTTCTGTTTCTTCAACTCACCTTCAAGTAAATTTATTATTTTGTCTTTGTCTTCGATCGTAGATTTTGAAGCCGAATTTTTTTAATTTCCAAGCAATCATTACAATGGTATTTCAAGTTTCTTTTTTCTTGTTGCATGTATTTCAATTCTTCTTTACCTAACCGAGAGCATTTTCCACAATAAAACTTTTTACAATAATCGCAGCTAGTTTCCTCGTTTTGGTTTCCGAAGATTTAAAACCTACGCATTCCATCTTCTCTTCGTTTACTTTATCCCCATATTGTAGATCCATGTTCCTCCTACAATAATGCAGTGATATTTTCACTAATATCACTTTTTAGCGAAACCATTCACTTATCAGAAAAAATGTTCATTTTGTTGTTTCGATCTAATAATTGAATATGTAAGTTGTCCAAGTTTCACTTAACTTCGAATGGTTTTTCTTTCAATCGATGATTCAACAGGAACCCGTAAAACGCGTGCTGTTAACTCGAACGCCCATGAAGGAATTATATATTTACATATATATATATATATATATATATATATATATATATATATATATATATATATATATATATATATATATATATATATATATATATATATATATACATATATACATATATATATATATATAATATATATATATATATATATATATATATATATATATATATATATATATATATATATATTCATATTCATTGCTATCTTGAACCATTTTATTTATAATTTTTTTTTTTGTACACTCCTTCGCTCTATGGTAGAATCCTCTGCATATATATTATTATAATTCAGATATAATATATATATATATATATATATATATATATATATATATATATTTATTTATATGTAAATTACGAATCGAAATTACACCACAAAAGTTTTCAACGTCGACTGGGATACGAACCCAGGTCTCTCAGGTTTACGCCCTGTGGCTCTACCAATCAAACTACCGAGGTCTACACTTCACTATGCCATTTCGACTATATCTAATTACTCTTTTATTCGCAAGCTAGTCGTCGACGCTCGAGTTGTAGTCTTTCAAACTGCACGAAAGTGAGAAAATACCTTTCCATCCTCCCAGATGTATTTTTATTTTTTTCGTTACTGAACATGAGATTAAAGTAAAGTAAATCATCTTTGCGCTAACCACGCAAGTACGGATCATATTGTATATGAAGAAATATTTATATGTAAATTAATTTATTTACATTAGTTTACATATATCCGTACTCAGTGGTTAAATAAATCATATTCGCGTGGTTAGCGCGATCAACCGGCAGCAGCCGGTTTCTCGGGTTCAATGGTCATCCATGAAATGAAACTTTCATGTATGCAGTAGTACCTAAATTTATAAATACCCCACATACAATATATTTAGAATTTCTAGGTGGTATAAGTGCCAAAAATTATTTGTTTTTCGCCCCGCCACTACTATGCCTGTGGCAGTTGCGGAAAGCGGTCGATAGTTGTGCCTTATTGAAATAAATTATTTTTGGGACCTGATACGAAAAATATTTCGAGAGAAGTTCGGAAATCTCAAAATATCCTTAAGTCGTATTCAACGGACTTAACTGTGTGTCTAATTCCCATCGGTATGCCTCAAAAAAGGATGCTACACGTGTGAAAGTGGCAAATCAGCGCGCCAACGACAATACTCGGGAAGGCAGAATGCTTCGTAGGCAACAGCAAATTGCTGTTTTGAAACTTCCACAATGGCTGAAGAACTATTATATGGCCCACGAGTAGATGACTCGTGGTGTAAAGTGACTAGGTGTAAGTGATTAAATAATTCGTATTTTGTACGTAAATCTGGTGTGAAACTTTAAATGCGTTTTTCTTAAAACTATGTTTTTTAAACTGGTGACCACTGTAACTCGAAAACCACCGGGCCTGATCGAAGGGTTTTTTTTCTTTCAAAATTTATTATGATTTAATAATTTATTTCGATTCATTCAGTCCAATTAACTCTTGATTTTTTCCTGTCAATCTAGAAAAACAATTCCTGAGGTCACCATTTTGTTGATATAAAGAAAAAAAAAGCTACGATCAGGCTCAAGATTATCTATTTATAAAACTAATTTTTCTCATTCGATTGATTTTAGATGAATCTCCAAGGACTTATGATTGTCACCGCAGGGACCTTTTTTTGGAACTGGGTCAACACTAAGTTTAAAAATTATAGATTTTTGTTTTTCAAATTTTCGTGACTTCAAGTCAAAATATCGTGTAGTACCACATTATTACTTTCGTAAAATAATATGATTTAATAGCTAAAAAAATTACTGAAAATTCTCATTTTTTCGCGTCTCTGACTACCCCTAACCCTTTAAATAACCCAGGCTAGCTGAAAACGAGGTCACACATTCGGTCTGATTGACACTCAGTAATAACAAAGTTAAAATGTATGAATTTACTAGATTTCTTCGTATTTACAATAAAATAAAACAACTTATCTATATAATTTTATAGATGTTGGATTGACAAGTTTGTCCTTTAATATATGTAGGTTGAAGCTCCAGCGATGTGTTTCTAACGCTCCAATCAAGATAATTTTGGGGCTCTAGTCAAGGTGTTATTGAGGCTCCAGCGAAGGTTGAAATATAGCTCAAGTTTAGGTACTTCGAGAGCTCCAGCGGAGGTACTTTTAGAGCTCCAGCAGAGGTTGAAATATAACCCAAGCCAAGGTACTTTGAGAGCCCCAGCGAAGAAACTGAAAACATTCAGGGCTAATCAACATTATTTTATAGGCTAAAGTTATTCCAAGAATGTCTGCAGGATCCCGATGGCATAATCACATTTACAGATAGTATGAAATAATTCAAAAATGCCAAGAAATAAAGCAACTGTTCTAACGTCAAACATGAACATGAGATGCGAACACTTGGAATAAGTCATCGTTAGCCCACAAAAATCTTGAGCCAATTTGAAAAATTCAATGAGCAGATAAATCGAGGATAATTTGAATTAGAATATGTTATATGATTATAGCAATATTGAAAGATAAACAATTAAAAAGGTATCATAAATAAAAAATGAAAATAGCGAAATGATTGAAGCAGAAAAATTCAACTCAGGTTTTCCAGATAATGCATTTAGACGAAAAATAGAATTTGTTTTCATAACTTACCGTCAGTTTAGACGCCACAGATAATTAATTAATCCACTTGGTATTAAGATAAGAATATACCTAATCAAAATAATTGAAATCTACCAAATCTTGTGTGTAAGATTACGATATTACTTCTTAGATGGATAATTGACGAAAAACGAACATGCAACGAGAGTAAAGCTCACTATATCTGCATTTCAGATGTACGCAGGTTATCGCAACTGGACGAGTTCATTCATGAAGGGGTAAACATATGCATTCAATGCAACGAATGAAAGAGTCCAGCGACGAAGAACATACAAAAGTCAACTGAATCAACAGTTCAGTGGCGGCGGTAGTGTGGGAAATTCACACATTACAACGTATTCTCGACTCAATTAACTATCTCCATAAGTACCTACATGAATCAGTGATGGGTACCATCGGCAGATGAAGTCCTTAAAAAATTTTCATGTCATAACATAAACTGAATAAATATTTCCCAAAGAATTATAAAACCAATTTGAGTAGCAACATTCATAATATGAGTAATAATAATATATAATTGACAAATAACGCGAAACCAATATGTAGCAATGGAAGGAACTTGAAGTCTTTCTTGGCAAATAATACGAATATAAAATGATATGACTGAGGCAACCTCCCATGGAAAAATTCATGGGAGGTTGTCCAGTTCTACTCTTGCATCTATTGTAATGTCATCTCTACTTAACACATGTGTACCAAGGTTATCGTTCCATACATCATTCTGATACCAATATGTTGATGATCTTGTAATATATTCACCTCACAGCAAAATAAAAGAAAGTGGAAGTGGAAGTCTTTAACTCATTTGATTAACACATTGAGTATACTGTGAAGATGGAGACTGAGAGATCTGTACCGTTTGTAGACACTAGAGTGGTTAGATGTGATGATGGTGTGATCAGGTTAGATTGGTATCAAAAGCCATCTTCGTCAGGTAGATATCTACGCTTCAGATCCCATCAGGAAATGAAAATGAAATTGAATCTGATTAGTCAACTCAAGAATCGAATAACCAACATTGTACATGCAGATTACTGTCAGAGTTCACTAACCCGTTTACAAGTAATCCTTCTTAACAATGGATATCCAATAACAACTGTTAAAATGATTCTATGGAGTGCTATCACTAGACCATCAGTTTCATCCTCTACAATCAATAGATATAGAGGTACCATCACAAATCGATTCACAAACTCCTTTAACCAAATGTATGTCCTTACCATATTTACACTTACTCACTAGTAAACTATCTCACATCCTATCTGAAATAAAACATTTAAAATTGGCCAAATATAATATTATTTCTGGTAAAAGTGTTTTCACAAAACTGAAAGACAAGGTCCCTTCATTTTCTATTTCGGACTGTGTATATGGTATACTATGCTTAGATTGTGGAGGAGTGTACATAGGTCAAACTTGACAGAATATCAAATGAAGAATTACTCCCCATAAGAGTGATCTGCTTTGGCCCTCCATGCGGCAGAGATGGGACATCACTTTGACTTCGAAAATTTAAGAATACTGGATATAGCTGGTAACTAACAGAAAAGAATATTTTTGGAAATGTGCCATATTGATGTTAATGGCAATAGAATTAATAAAAGAACAGATATTTCTCAGTTGCATCTATAGTTATCTAATATCGAAGATAATTCGATAAGCCTTGCTACAATTTCTGAGGTCTTGTAGACGTTTGATCTTTTTTCACTTGCGGTGACAATTTACAGAGAGTTTTACACTTGACACCCTGTGATATCTAGTGACGCTTATCTGTGTTTTCTGACAGTTCGATATTTATTCCTATATGATTGCTGTGATACTTGATTTTTATATCTTTACATCATATCTTAATGATGTCATCTTCATCTTCAGCCTAGTTAACCGTAAGATATAATTTTTTTGTTTCTTAAATGTTTTCAGTTCATTGAAAGTCATCTATTTTCAATTTCTGCAGGAATAAATTCAAAAGGCTCAAAATTTTAATATTATGAAAAACTTTCTGAGGAATTTTATGTTTTCATTACCCACCAAAAACAATTTTTCATTCCCGGACCACTGCCCAACCAAATGAAGATTATAACAGTGCAACACAGTTAAACTTTTAAGAATGAGGGTTTTTTCGGTTATTTTGTATCGAAATATAACACCGAGACATTAAAGTTATTCTCATTAACGTTAACATATTAAAATAAGAATGAGATGAAGTCAAGTATCCTGATTAACTATATTTTAATACATAGATAAATCTCGAAAAAAAAATCACTCTTTTTTTAAGTCATGGTTGAAATATTTGATCATGCATTTCATATATGTCTTCATATCGTCACATTCCTTGTATTCTATTTTCTCGACACATTCAAGAAATGGTTCTCGATATTTAATAACTGCCATAAATTTCTCAGCGGCCAGTTTTTTAGAATCTATCATTTCCCCCACCAATACTCCACTCTTTTTAAGGGCACATTGGAGGACACAATAAACTCTAGTGGGTATGTTGTCAAATTCCGATATATGCGTGGTAGTTTCCATTCTTTTAATTTCATCATATGTCACGTTTCCTTTCGTCTCTTCGAGGCAAGCTTCCACATGAGGTTCACCTCCCTTAAAATAGCAAACATTTAATTTAAAATTTGTAGAAACAGTAAATGAAGTTAAAGGAAGTGTATAACTAGGATCTTAGTATGAACCACAGTATAAACCAGAAATTAATGGAAAAATGGAAAAAAATTCAATTTATGAAAGTAGAAAAATTTATTTCTTAAGAGATAAATTCACTCACTTCGTCAAATAATTTAGTTCACAATAGTTGATTATCTTAGA